GCCTTTGCCCCAGATCTCAGGAGCCCCAAAGCAGGACTTTCTCCCAAGTACCTCGCCAATTTCTGTGCTGGGCTGAGCTCCAAGAAGTGAATTCGCCTCAGAGCTTAAAGTCAGCCTGACCCTGTGGTTGGGCTGAGACGAGGGTGCTCAGGGCCAGGCTGGACACCTACACCTCTAGGACAGCAGTTCCTGGGCCCAGATGAAGGGACACAGGAAGAGCAAGCAGTCTGCAGCATCTCCCCAATCCTGCTCCTGTTCTGTCCCCTGCCATGGTATTGGCCAGATATGGGAAGTGACTGACAGGGAGTTGGCAGGGGAGTCCTGAATGGCTAGTTGGAGGTGGGGATTAGTCAAGTCTTGTTCATTCCACCTGCTCAGTGGGTCCCCTCCTCTCTATGCCCACTGTTCCTGTCTGAACCCAAGGCCTCATCAGTTCCTACCTGGACTCGTGCAGTAGCTTTCAGCCCTACCACCTGCAACCTATCCTCCACATGACCCCAAAGGATCTTTGCAAAATGTGTGGCCCTCTTCCTCACTCTCCTGCTTCAAATCTTTGACGGTTCTCCATGGCCTAGGGATCAAAGACCACACTTCAAAATCCGGCATTCAAGGCCCTTTCCAATGCCACCACCCCTGCCTGCCTCTCCTGACTTGTCTTCCAATTCCCCCAGGGCCCCCAGCTGCAGCTACACCAGGCTTTTCATAAACCATGAATGTATTTGGCATTTTCATGCCTCTATGCTTCTACATATTGCTCCTACTTTCTAGAATGCTCTTACTGCATCTCTGTCAAACTCTTACATAACCTCCAAGACCCACCTCTACTATCCCATTCTCTGTGAAGCCCGCACTCCAGCTGTATCCCACCCTGGATCTCTTCCCTGGGATCAATAGGAGATTTGGCTATATCCTACTAAGGAATTTTCCAGCTCTGTCTGTGCGTCTAGAGTCCAGAGGGATAACGAGGATGTTTAGAATAGGAAAATAAGTGGGAGAGGAAGTCCAAAGTCTGCCTGAATTTCTCAATGATAAGGGCTGGAGGGAGCTGCCCTGGCACTGGCTCCCAAAGAGCAATGGTTGACCAAATGGCCCAAGGCAAAGTCATGGAGAGAAAATGATGTAGTCCAGACCTGTGGCCTGAGATCTGGGTTCTATCTGGGCTTGACATGGGAATGTGCATTTGCTAGATGACCTTGGGTCCTTCACTGCCCCTTTCTGGGTCTCCGTTTCCTCTATCCCTCCTCCAGATAGGGTCCACCACTCAACTAAATTGTGGTGAGGGCAAGGCTAATTCTCCAGATCACCCCTACTTTATTTAGAGACACCCCAGGCCTCCGGGTTACCCTGTGGGCTCTTCCGCTCTCTTCTAACGTCTCTCAGGAAGAGCTCTGTGGCTGTGCTGCTGGCGGAGCAGTGTTAGGTAGAAAAGTTGACCCAACACCCTTCTGCCCTCAGACAGTGGCAGGCAGAAGGTGCCAGAAACCCTGTGGTGCCCATAGTGATTGGGAAAGAAGTATCTCTTGGTAAATCACACAGTCACAGCCCTGGCTTAATTGGTCCCAGCAAGTGATGGCATCCATTGTCCTGTCCTCAGAGGACAGGCTGAACTGTTGGTTACTAGGACAGAAAACTCAACTAGCTGAAGCCATTAAAGAAGGTATTGACTCATGTTGCTGGAAGCAGACTGGCTTCGGGCACAGCTGCATTCAGAGGCTCAGTGTCAAGAGGACTCAGTTTTTCTCCATCTCTCTATTCTGCCTTCAGCTGTGTGGCCTTCATCATTGTGTTCCATTTGTTAACCAAATGGCAGCGGTAGCTCCAGCCCCTGAATCCTTTGAGATTTCCAGTCCTCAAAGGGAAAAAGCAAATCTACTTGCCTAATTGCTTAATTCAAAGTCCCAGGAGTGAGTCTCCTGGCTCTGAGTAGCCTGAGTTAGGCCATGTCTCAAGCACTGCAGCCAAGAATGGTCTGACTGGCTCAAGTCTTGGTCACTTGTGAATCCCTTAGAAGAGGGTTTATTAGGAATCCATGAAGTGAGAGTGAGGAAGGGTGTGGTTTCCCAGATAGAAAAAAGGACATGGGCACCAGAGGAGGGTAAAGAATTCTGGAAAGTAGAAACAACAAATGCCCACTACTATCCATCCTGCTTTGACATTGCAGTGTGATGGGAGGTGACAATGGGCAGGAGAAGGAGATGAGGCTAAAAAGGGGCAAGAAGGTAGGACATCCTGTGGGGTAACAGGAAGGTACCATGGGGAGAAGCATGCTCCAAGGCAATCAAGATAGACCAATGGTGGGCCACAAGCTGGGGGTGGCCAGCCCCTTAGTTTTTCTTCCAGAGTCCACCTCTAGGATCTATCTGGCCACCTCTTTCCCCATACCTGAGCAGGATAAGCCATCCATAGATCCCTGAAGATAGGGCATCTCAAGCATTTCAGCCTGAGTAACCCTATGGGGAAGAAGGGAAGCACATGAGCCCAAAAAGGAACCACAGAGTCTTAGTTATATAGTGCTGCTATAACAGAAATATCACAACTGGGTGGCTTTAAATTTATTTTCTCACAGTTTAGGAGGTTAGCCGTCCGAATTCAGGGCGCTGGCTCTAGGGAAGCCTTTCTCTCTCTGTCGGCTCTGGGGGAAGGTTCTTGTCTCTTCAGCTTCTATTCCTTTGCTCCTTGGTGATCTTCATGCAGTGTGGCATTTATCTTCCTCCATCTCTGCTCACTTGCTTGCTTGTTTAATCTCTTCTATATCTTGAAAGAGATTGATTTAAGACACACGCTACACTTATACTGTCTCATTAACATAACAAAAAAATTCCCAAATGGGGTTATAACCACAGGTATACGGGTTAGGATTTACAACACCATTTGCAGGGGGACATAGTTCAATCCATAACATATAAGGACAAGTTTCCTTTAAATCTCATAGTTTTTCTTTTAAACCATCATTGCAAATACTGTATCCTGTTCCATAATAGATCTGTGTTACTTTCAATATGCCAAGTTTTAATGACTTACCAGCTAACGTTTTTACCCCAATTGGCTGATAAAGTTGACAGTCCAATGGAACCTCAGGTTCACTGTGTGGCTTCCAGGCCCATGGTGCTGGGAGAGTGAGAGCTGGATGCTGGGGCATTCTGGAAGGCATGCTGGACAAGGAGTCCTGCCCTGGGACCTGGGCTGGGTCAGCCTTGGCACTTAGCTTCAGATGGGAAAGTTGGACTGTGGTGACCTCTTTGACAGTAAGCTCCACCAAAGCTCCCAAGAAGGGATGAGGGGGCTGATGAAGTGGAAGGGACTCAGTTGTGTGGCCGGCTTTTTGGGCGCTGAGTTATCCAGTCTAAGCTTGGATACCCACCCTCCTCCCACAGCATGGAGTGCTCACTGCCACCTGGGACGTATATCCCTCAATGGCGTCAATTTACTTAAAACAATGGTCAAAGTCACCTGCTTGGTACCTGCAGGCCAGGCAGGGACCCCCTTAAAGGAAGGAAATAGGGGAAGCCCTCCACCTGCACTCTCCCCATAACCCCACTGCAAGAAGCCTTTTGAGTCAGTAGGGGAGGTGGCTGAGGCCCATTTGGCCTACAAGGAAACTGAGGCCCAGGGACGTAGGACGTTGTCCCTGGGTGGGAGAAGCAAGTCGGGGGAGACACTGAGAATCTCTTATTCTGAGGTGGTCTTAGGGACCACCCTCTTGGGGACTGTGGCATTTTCCCACCTAAACTGGTGTGAGGTTGCCAGGGGCAGCAGCCACTTCCCTGAGACCAAAGACCCAGGCAGAACCTGCCACCAGCCCAGTGGTTCTTCTATGGAGGCTTCCACCTGCCTTCCCCACCCAACAGTTCCCAAGACCTGTTTTTGTCTGGCTTTCTCTGGACGGCCATTACCCCTACTCACATGTCTGCCCCAATGCCAACTTCCCCTGGCACACCTGGTATGGCCCCAACCTGATCCCTGGCCAGGGCACAGGGGAGGGGAGGAGAGAAACTTGGGCCTTCCCATCCTTTCCCCTACCTCCTGGAGGGAGAGGAGGCCTGGTGATCCTAGATGGGCCTCTTTGACTTCCTTCAACCTACCCCTGCCCCATTAGACCTGGTATAACTTGAACTGTTCAGAAGCTAACAAGGAAGCAGGTACAGTCTGGGCAAGAAGGACCAGAAGGGTGAGCCCCTTTCCCAGCCTGGTGATGCAGAGGACCGAGCACAGGCTTCTAGAATGGGGACAGAGGCTATGAAATACAGCTAGACTCCTGGACTCCTTCTAGGCCTGGCCCTAGGAACTAGAGGATGGGGTCCAACTCCTTACAACAAGGTAGTACTAGCTGGACCCCACCCATCTAGGGAGACTGAGTTGGGATGGAGGACTCTCAACCCAAGCTAGAGAGAATGGTAGACTCCAGTGTGCCAGCTCTAGGCTCTAAGGAGATGCCCTCTTACCTCTGTCCAGGGTCTCACCAACCATAAAGAGACAAAGTAGTTATAGCCACAGCACTGTTGGGGGAGCCATCTGGCTTTCCCAGTTTCTCTCGGCATTTGGTGGCTCACCAAGAAACCATGACAGAGTCCTCAAGGTAAAACCAGCCTTGGGGACAACAGTTTTGGGTCAGACCTGGGTCAGGGTCAAGGTTCAGTCTGGGGCTAGGATTAGAATTCAGTTTGTGGTTGGGATTGAGACTCAGTTTGAGGGTGGGTCAGGGCTCAGTCTGGGGATGGGATTGGGAATCAGTCTGAGGGTGTGGTGGGGCTCAGTTTTAGGGTGGGGTTGGGGCTCAGTCTGGGGGGCGGGGAGGGGACTCAGTCTGAGGGGTGGAATTGGGATTTATTCTGAGGGTGGGGTTAGGGCTCCGTCTGGGTTTGAGGGCAGGGCTCAGTCTAGGGCCGGGACCGTGGCTCAGTTGGAATTTGGAACCTGCTTGACCCCATGCTCCTGGAGTCTGTGTACAAGAGGCAGGCCTTGAAGGAGGCTGATGGTTCTCCTCCCATCTCTGTCCCCAGGGTGGCCAGGCAGCCGGGCTACAGCGAAAGGAGTGCATGTTTCTGCAGAAGATCGAGATGGACCACAAGCAGTGCCTACAGGACGCCCAGCTGGAGAATGAGACAGCAGGTGATGTCCCCAGGCTGAGCCCTGTGGGAAGAGAGGAGCTGCAGGCCCCCAGTGACCCCATTTTTCCTCACATCGTGGAACCAGATCCAAGTTACATTCATTCCACATTTGTTGGAGGGGGGCCACAGGGAGGAGAGAACCTGGGTGATGAGGACAGGATGCTGGGAGAAATAGGGAAAGTCAGATGGAATAAGGACGGGCTTAACATGTTCCCATGTTCCCATGGCCTATCCCAGGTCTGGGGAGCTCCCAGTCATTACCTAAAGGAAGCATACTAAATTCGGGTTCTGAAAAGTGGCTGGAGCCAACTCTGCCTTTGGGGATCCCTATCCTCTTGGCCAGGAAAAGTAAGGATGATGTGGATGGTTACCAGCCCACACAGGGTGGGAAGGCCTAGGGTGCTGCTGCAGAGTGGGGGCCTATGGACAATGAAGGCAGTTCATAGAGAAGTTGGGGCAGCTCACTGGTGGGAATACTCCTGGGCCAGCTTTCTCAGCCCCTGAGCTTAGCTGGAGCTGAGGTGGGAAGAACTGGCCTTAAGCTGCCACATTCTGGAATTAGACCATTGCACTGTGTTAGGATCTCAGAGGGAGAGCAGGGGACATTTTGTGACAGCATGTGACACCACGAGGACCACATGGAAGCTCAGAGCCATCTTGGCAGTCTAGAGAGAGAAGAGACACCGAGCTAGCCTGTGCAGGTCTGGAATACTCATCACCATGGGAGCAAGCCTAATCCTCCATCACAACCCGAGGCTCTGCCAATTACTGTGACCCCAGAGAACTGGTAGTGACACCAAACACACAAGCAGCTAGGACACACAGGTGCACACCAGCCACCCCATCCCAACCCACCCTCAGCAGGCAGATGAGCCATCAGCCCATTATCCTGCTAATTAGACAAGCCAAGGTCAGACCGAGAGGCTGAGCCTGTGGGAACATGGGGAGGTCTGGGAGAGCTCCCAGCTGGCTGTGTGAAGGGTGTGCCTGGGGCACCCTGAGGTTGTGACTGCCCATTGGCTCAGACTTGGTGGGGCCATCAGGCCAGATAACATGTACCCTCTACTCTTCACTGCCCACACCCCACCCCATGTGCCCAGCACCTTGCTCAGCAGCCCTGGGGTGAAAATAGGAGGAGTTAACAGAGGACTTCCTTCCAAAGGTGGCGCTTGAGCCAGACTTGGAAGTGTGGGCAGGGTTTCGAGAGGCAGAGAGGCTGGAAAGGTGGGGGCTCTGAGGCAGGTTGCATGGGGAGCAGGGAGGAGTGTCAGGTTCAGGGCTCACTAAGGGGAAGGGATGGGGCTGGCACATAGGGCTGGAGACTGTGAAGTGGCTGTTCTGGCTCTGGGCCTCCCTCCCAAGTCATCTCCCCAGGCTCTAAGCTTAATTTATATAACAGCCTTGCTCTTCCCAAGAGTGTCTTTGTGTCTTCCCTGCCCCCACCCCACCACCACCTTTCTGAGACTGGAGTTTATGTAACCCCTCCCTGTCCCTCCTTTTTGGCCCCCGGCACCCAGTCTCTCTGCCTCCTGCCCCTTAAGTATCTGTGTGTAGCCTCAGGGACAGGTTTCACCCCGCCCCCCCAGGTCTCAAGAAGGGATGGCCCCCTGACTCTTGGAGGCCAGAGACTGAGGTCTGGGGTGACTGGACTGCCTGTTGTGTATGCACCCCACCCCCACCCCAGCAGGTCAGAGAGGCAGGGCCAGGCTGCAGGCAGGCCCCACCAGCAGCCCAGAGAGGCCCAGACCCCAGACTCTAGGCCCCACTGCAGCACCTCCCAGGCCCAGAGGGCAGGCCACCCTCGTGATCCTGGTGAGGTCATTGCTGGCGCAGGGTGTCTGTTGGGTGCCAACACGCTGTCACCAGGCAGCCGACTTGGGATCCAGGCGGGGGCAGGTCTAAGGGCTATGGGTCTGCCCATGACCTTGATAAGGCCCTGTGTGTGTTCATGTACAACCAGGTGTGTGCTCCTGGTCCCTGTCTGGATGGGGCAATGTCTGTGTCTCTGGGGTCTGTAGCTCTGTGTCTGATTCTGGGTGTCTCTGTGTGTCTCGGTGTGTGTGTCTAAGCGGAGACATGCTTCGATGTGTCTACCTAGTGAGCTGTGTCACTGTTTGTGAGCCTGTGTGTGTTTGTATGTGTGTGTCGGGCGAATGTCTATGTCTGTCTTTGCATGCCCAAACGTGTCTGTCTGTATGTTTATGAGTTGTGTGTCTCTCTGTGCCTGTGTTTGCTGGGCACTGTGACTTTTTCTTGCCAGGTAAGCGTACATGTGTGCATGTGTGTCTAAGGTTCCTTTTGCCTGGGCATGCGTGTCAGTGTGTGTATCTCTGTGTACATACAAGTCTATAAAAATGACACAGCAGAGCCCCCCACCCGAGGTTCCGTCCAGGTTGGGCTTTCGTGTTGGGGCTGCTGCCCCTGGCGGGCACACAAAGCCAGCCTGGGCCCTGTGACTCTGTGGGCTGGCTAACGTTTGTGATGGGGCCTGTGGGGCCTCCCTGGACAGCACACAGGGAATACTCCCAGGGCCCAGGGCCCAGGCTAGGACAACACACCCTCCAGGTGCCAAGGCCTTCCAGGGCTCTCATCCCCTCCTCAGCTTCCTGCTGCCTCGGCAAACCAGCCCCATCTTGCCTCCTGCAGGGGGATTCCCTGACTGCTGGCCCCCATACTGACCGCTTTTCCCTGGCCCCCTGCCCTGCTTGCTGCCCTGTGGTCCAGCAGCTGCTGCCAGCCCAGCATCAGTTGCACTGAGTCCCAAGAGCAGGGTCCGTCTCCCTTTCCTCTTTCCTACCTCTGGTGAAGCTAAGCTCAGAACTGGGGACCCATTTCCTAATCCACCCCCTGGCCTGTGCTGGCAGCTGGAGGTTCACAGAGAGCCCAGCGTCTACAGGGACCAGACACAGTAGCTGTCCCAGAAAGCAGGTTGTGCCCCACTCTGTCAGAGAAGGGTAAACAAAGTCCAGCAGCAGCAGCAAAATTCCCAGAGAAATGAGACAGCCCTTCAGAGCAGGAAGAGTGGGAAAGGCTTGCTGGAGAGGGAGCGTGTGAACAGGTTGTACACTCACCAGCAAAGTGGCCTTGGGCGGGTCACCTGACCTCTCCGTGCCTCAGTTTCCTCATCTGGAAAATGAGAGGGTTAAATAAGTGATTCGTTTAAAGAGGTTAGAACTGTGCCTGGCACAAGGCCTACCTACGAGGGCTACGTGAGGGCTTGCTGATTTTATTAACAGGGCCTTGAACCCTGAGCAGATTCAACTGGCCTCTGCTGAGGCTGGCACAGGAATGAGGGGGGACTGACACCAGTGAGGCCACAGGAGCCCTCAGGACAGGTTGGGGCAAAAGAGGTTGGCGTCCCCGAGGAAGGGAGTCTGTGCTCTCTGGTTGGGCCCCGGGGATCCAGGTGTCCAGCATGAAGCCCCAGATCCCAGATGGCTGCTGCAGTCTCGGAAGGTACCCCTCCCTGCTGCTAGCCCACCCACTACTCAGAGTCCCGCCACTCTTCTCTAATGGGGACATCCCTCCACCTCCTCCTCTTCCCAGGCCCCCTTCCTGGGAACTTGTGAGACTTCGGACCTGGGCTGGGCTGGGCTGGGCCGGCTGGCGTTGACTTTGGCTCAGGTGTTGGATTTTCTGAGCAAACCTATGGGACTGGCAGGATTGCAAAGAGACAATTAAACCTGCCTCAGGGAAGAGAGTCTGAAATAGCTGTAGTCCCTCAGGGGCACCTGGCCCCTGAACAGGCAAATCCAGGGCATTTGCATCTGCCTATTAAAGCAGACCCCTGAGACCTACAATGCACCCTTCACCAGCCAGGCCACCGCAGGGCTAATAGCTATATGGAGGACAAGGCAGCCTGCCATGTGTATGGGGGGCGGGGAGCACCTCTGAACTCCTTCCCTGACATCCTTCCCAAATCACAATTCCCAATCTAGCTGAGTTGGGGTATCTGGTGCTTTGTGAGTTTTATGAAGATTGCTCAAGAACTAGTCCAACCTCAATACAACCATCACCTCATATACCCAGCACCTCCTTTTATAACAAATATTTTCTAATGCCTCCTTTACTATCCTAAAATAAAATTCAGGATATACACATTCAGTTAAAAAAAAAAAAAAAAAGTTGTTCTAGCTGTAATGTAAAGGGAAAAATGGAAAGCAATTTATAATAAAATACTATGTACATGTTCAGGCACAAATGCAATAGAAGATAAGACGTAGGCTGAAGGTTGTACCTATAACTGTATACTGGGAAGGTGAGAGCTGTAAAGGCAAATTAAGATATATAGGTAGTTGTTTCACTGGTGACTCAAATATCACAGACAGAATTGCTGTCGGTAACACGATGTTCCAAAACATTGAACAACTCTTTATGAAGTTCAGAACAAAACAAAGTACGATGTTCTCCACCTTTACTCAGTAATTGTATTCCTGGATAACTCCATGTATGTTAAATCTGCACAGTGAGTACCTTATGTTATATGTAAACGTCCCTGGGTGGTGCAAACAGCTTGCACTTGATTACTAACCTAAAAGTTGGCGGTTTGAAGCTGCCCAGCTGTGCCACGGAAGAAAGGACTGGCAATCTGCTTCCGTAAAGATTAACCAAAAACCAAGCCCGTTACCATCGAGTCAATTCCAACTCATAGCGACCCTAAAGATTATAGCCAAGAAAATCCTGTGGAACAGTTCCACTCTGTAACACGTGGGGTCACTATGAGTTGACATTGACTCAACGGCAACAGGTTTGGCTTTTTGGGGTTTTGGTTATGTGTAAAATGGAGTAAGAGTCTAGGCTCTGGCCATTACAAAAGGGTTTCACCTACACAAATGTCCAGTGGCTCATTTGAAAGTCATGCGGAACATGAGACAATTCATTGTGCAAGACCATCCAGGATGCCTACCCGGCATCCCTGGTGCACGCCCATCAAATGCCAGGTGAGGCCCTCCAATCACTGGAACAGACAAAACCCCAACACTGCTTGCAACACCCCCGGGGGCGGTCTGTCGCTCACTGAGGACCAGGGAGCTAGAGCCATGCCTTCCCTGTTAGGCTAGGGCTGTGCCTCCCCCCTCAGACTGGAGGCTCCTCCAAGCTGAATGCTGGATTCCCCCAGCCTGGCAGGAGAAGGAGGAGAGTGAGTGGCTTACTGTGGGCTCACCAGGCTGGAGGCACCTGGTGATCATGCTGACCCATGTGTCCTCTGTCTTCACCCCACAGGCTGCAGCAAGATGTGGGACAACCTCACCTGCTGGCCGGCCACCCCTCGGGGCCAGGTGGTCGTCTTGGACTGTCCCCTTATCTTCACGCTCTTTTCTTCCAGTCAAGGTAAGAGCCATGGGTGAAGGGAAGGAGCAGGGGCGGTGTGAGTGGGGCCGCTGGGAGGTAGGGAGTACTTAGCTCTGAGGGGAGTGGGAAGGCAAAGGAGTGTAGCCAATGCGGGTTGGAGCAATCAGGGGTGCCCTGGTAGAGGCGATAATAACATTGGGTCTTTGAAGAACTTGTGAGATTTGATTAGCTCTTCAGGTAGAGATGAGTGCGTGGGAAAGGCTCACTAAATATCTGCTCAACAATTGATAACTGATTGACTGGCAGGCACTCAATTAAATTATGGCTCCCATGTTCCTGTTGTCCTGGACTGGTCATGATTCCGTATTTGCTGCTTGGACCTGATGATCTTTTGGCTTCTGTGAAACTGTCGCAGGGCTTTGCTTGCACACTTGTCATGTTCTGCTTAAATGAATGTCCAAATATAAGGCAGAAAAAAGAAGGTGAAGCCTCTTTAGAAAGTGGGCTTTCTTGCTCTTGAGTAATTAAGGAGGCTTACTGATAATATGCTTTCAGTCCTCCTTTCATTTAGTGGGAGCCCTGGTGGCACGGTAGTTAACAGCTCAGCTGCTAACCAAAAAGTCAGCAGTTCAAATCCACCAGCTGCTCCTTGGAAACCCTATGGGGCAGTTCTGCTCTGTCCTACGAGTCAGAGTTGACTCGAAGGCAACGGGTTTTTGTTTATTTAGTGAATATTTATTGAGCACCTGTCAGTGTGCTGGACACTGTGATAGATAAAGCACTGCGGGAATGGGGGACAACCCCGCCCCCCCCGTCTGCCCTCACGGAGCTAACGTTTTAGTTGGGAAGACGTTCAGCAAGAAAACAAGCAGATATATTATCATAAATAGCAAGAAGTGCTGGGAGGAGAATACTGGGGGACTACGTAAGTAAGGCAGGTGTTCACGAACAATCTCTGAGGAAGTGACATTCAACGGCAATCTGAAGACCTGGGGGTAAGAAGGAGCCACAATCCCGGGGCTCCTCAAAGATGGGGAAGGGGATTGAGAGAGGGAACCAATGACCCGTGAACTAGTCATTCAGGGAAACTCAAGGCTGGTGTGGCTGGAGCAGAGAGAGCTGAGGGGTAGCCAGAGGCTAGACCACAGAGAGCCTTGAGGACAGAAGTGAGGGCTTGCGTTCTTTCTAAGTTCAGTGAGAAGCTACTGGGGGTTTAAGCAGGGACGCTGACACAGTCCAATTTAGGTTTTTGACTGATAACTCTGGTTGCTGTGAGAAGAAAAGATTCTAGAAGTACAAACAGGAAGCCACAATCACAAGGCAGTCCGGAGATGGTGATGACTGAACTAAGACAGAGACTGTGGTGGAAGAGAGAAGTGGGAGGCTTGCCTATGGAGTGGGTATGGGGTGAGCCAGGGGGACGGAGGAATCGAGCATGCCCCCCACCTAGGTCTCGGTGTGATGAGCTGGGGGAGAGGAAGGAGAAGGATTGGGATGGAGAGGACTGAGGGAGGAGCAGGATGCATGGGGAGCACTACGCAGTAGGAGGACAGGTGGGGAGGACCAAGGAAAGAGCAAGGCCTGTGGGGAGGACTAATGAGGAGCAGACATGGGATGGAGAGAGTCGAGGGAGGAGCAGGAATGGGTGAGGAGGATTGCTGAGGAGCAGAACAGATGGGAGCAAGACCTGAATGAGGATTCAGAGGGTGGGCAGAGGGTGATCAAAAAGACTGTTGGTGCTCACTCCAAGTGGTCTTCCCTTTCTGGACCTCAGTCTCCCTGTTTGTAAAGTGGGGGTGGAAGGTAGACCAAATGGTCTGTTTAGGGTGGGCAGCTTTGCCCCCCAGTGTGATGAACTGAGCCTGAAGGAAAGACCTAGATGCCCTCCCTGAGGTTTGCCATATTCCAGGTCAGTGCCCACCTAGCCCCACCCTCGTCCAGGGGAGCCTAGCACCTGGGCAGGCAGAAGATGACTCCGTCAGGCAGGTCTCATGATGTGCCCCATTGGCAGAGCCTGGCAACCAGCCTTCTCTCGGGTCCCCGAAAGCACCTGTGAATTGCGTTCCTCTCTTGTACTCTGCTAATTGCCTTCCTCCCTGATGGCTCCTCCTTCTGTCTCTGCTGGAATGTCACTGCTGGAAGCTTCTTCACTTGAGAACCTGGACTGCAGCCCACCATCTGGCTAACCTTGAGGCTGCCGGCCACAGACCCTTGAGGAAGGGGGATGGGCAATTAGACCAGGACTCTTGCACCACAGCGGGACCTGCGTAGGCCAGACTGGGCTCCCTCTGGACCAACCGTGACGTCTCCATCTCTAGGATGTTGGATCCATAATGCGCATGGCGAGCCCATAAGGTACCTTTATGGAGATGAAAAAAAGTGCCCTTTTAGTCAGGGCTGCTATTAGATGGACCCTGCTATTAGAACGGGAGAAAAATGTGGAACAGAATCTCAAATTCCTAAAAAAAAAAAAACAAAAAAAAACCCAACCTACTGGACTAGTTGAGACTAGACTAGAGGACTCCATGAGACTATTGCCCCTGAGATACTCTTTAAATCTTGAACCGAAACTAACCCCCGAGGTCACCTTGTAGCTAAATTACAAATCGGCTCAAAAAATAATGAATATCGCCTGTAAGTACTGTACTCCTTTAAAAAAATCACTTATATGAGACCAAACGGTCAATAATTACTTTAAAACAAAGATGAGAATGTAAGAAGGTCAGGGAAACTAGATTAACGGGAACAGAGCAACCAGAAGTAATGAAAATGTTCACATTGTGAAGAATGTAACCAATGTCGCTGAACAACTTGTGTAGAAATTGTTGAATGGGAATCTAAACTACTGTGTAAGCCTTCACTGAAAACACAATAAAATATTGAAAAAAAAAAAAAAAAAAGTGCCCCTTCCTCAGGTGAAGTTGATCCATTACCAGGGCCCACTTAGTGACAAGCTGACTGCAAGCTGGATCTCAGTCCCCGTTGTTCATCAGCCAGGTCCCCTGTGCAGTGAACAACCCACACAGCCATACTTGGTGAACTTAATCTCTGAAAATGATACAGAGAAATAGGAAACTGTGGGTCAGGGGCTGAAGACATGGAGGAAAGACAGTGTGTTCCATGAGCAACTAGATATTGAAGATGTGAGCAACTGAGCTTAAGTTCCAAAGAGGGAAGTTTGCAAGTGAGGGAAGTGCAGGGCAGGAATGAAGCCAACCCCAACCCCTGCCCCCTTGGGTAGCAGGACTGGGGAAGGTGTGTCATCCCCAGACACTGGAGGAGTTGAGAGAATTGGAAGGGACCTGATGCTTCAGAGAAAGCTGAAGATAAAGACTCGTGGAGGGCTACAAAGAAGTCATCTACCCGCTGGGGGGCCTGAGCTCGCTCATCAAGTTACCAAAATGTTCGTGGCAGCCTATTCTTTTAATTCGTGGTCTGCACATCTTTCATCTGTGGTATTTTTACCTTCAAATATTTAAACAGACTTTTTTTTTTTTTAAAGAATAAAAAAATAGGATAGCTATTTTCATTGGGTAAACTCAACATGGCTCATGCCATGAGCTGGAGTCTATTCAATGGCAACTAACACCACCACCAAAAAACTAAACATACAGTCTATGTTACTCACGTCTGTGGGGTCTACGAGACACCCCCACCCCTGCCACCTGCATCATGAAGCCATAAATAAGAAAGTCTTAATGCCAACCTAACAAGTTTAGTCCCCTTGCTGACAGGGCCAGGGCACCATGGACAGGAATTCAGCAGAAGAGCACCATGATCAGATCTGGGTTTTAGAACAAGCCCTTCTGCTGTCTTGGGGTGGGGAGTGGGCAGGAGAGCAGGGGAGACCCATCAGGAGGCTCCTACCTAATCTAGGGGAGATGTAATGGTGGCCCAACCTAGGAAGGTCTTATTGAGGAAAGAGAGGCTGGGACAGGACTGATGACTAGTGGGAGGATAACAATAACAAAAAAAAAAAAACCAAACCCATTGCCATCAAGTAAGCTGCCCCATAGGGTTTCCAAGGAGCGGCTGTTGGATTTGAACTGCCGACCTTTTGGTTAGCTCTTAGCCACTGTGCCACCAGGGCTCCAATAGGGGGACAGGGGGGATAAAATGACCCTTACTCTGATTTCTGGCTCCAGTCACTACCTAGTGCCTTTCAGGCAATGGAGAACCCTGGGAGGAATTGGGGGATGGACTTCGTTTTGAGATATGGTGAGTGGGAGGAGACTGGGAGAATGTGGGACTTCCCCACTAGCTCAGGGTTAAAGTTCCTTGCCCAAATCCCCCTCTACACACATAAGGCCTGCCAGTTCCCAAGCCCAGACTGGGGAGAGACTCTGGCTGCTTCTTAGGGGCCATGGTGACCACCTTTGAGCTCTCCTTGAGAGCAGTTTTCTCTGAAGCCTGGGCCACAATCCCAGGGCTTTTCTAAGAGGCTGCACGGTCCTCTGAAGATAACCTGTTACTTCCTCCTTTCCCCCACCATCCAGGGGGACCAGGGGCTCCAGACAACAGAGTGCCCCTTCAGTCACTGCTGGGACCCCAAAAAGATCTGGAGTCAGGCTGACCAGGATCTGCATCCCAGGTCTGCTGCTTCCTTGCTTCTGACCAGGGGCAAGACACCTTCTCTTAGCCTTGAGATCCCCATCTTTTAGTGGGACTAACAAAATTCTCATCTCTGGCCTAATGCATTAATGTTTGCACATCCCACATAAGGCATGTGAAGTTGCTGTGTAGACGCTGATGACCCAGGGTCACTAGCAAAGTTCATGTTGTTGTTTTGTGCCATCTAGTCGATTTCAACTCATGGTGACTCCATGTGACAGAGTAGGACGCCCCATAGGGTTTTCTAGGCTGTAATCTTTATGGAATCAGATCACCAGGTCTTTCTCCTGTAGAGCTGCTAGGTTTCTGGGTGGGTTCAAACCACCAACCTTTAGGTTAGCAGCCAACTGCTTAACTATTGCACAACCAGGGCTCCTTAGCAGAATTCATAATTAGACCAAAATCCAGTTGTTGTAGAGTCAATTCCAACTCATAGCGACCCCATGTGTGTCAGAGTAGAATTGCGCTCCATAGGGTTTCAGTGGCTGATTTTTTGGAAGTAGATCTCTAGGTCTTCCTTCTAAGGTGCCTCGGGGTGGACTTGAACCTCCAGTCTTTCAATTAGCAGCCGAGTATGTTAACAGTTTGTACCACCCAAGGACCCCATAGAGATACCAGGTGCCCACTTTGTCTGTGGGCCTGACCTCATCAAGTTCTGGTTCCTCTGGTGAATGGGGGGCTCAAAGCTTAAGACTTTACCAAAGGACTAATGGACCATAACTACCACAGCCTCCACCAGACTGAGTCCAGTACAACTAGATGGTGCCTGGCTACCACCACTGACTGCTCTGACCGGGATCACAACAGAGGATCCCGGACAGAGCTGGAGAAAAATGTAGAACAAAATTCTAACTCACAAAAAAAAGACCAGACTTACTGGCCTGACAGAGACTGGAGAAATCCTGAGAGTATGGCCCCCGGGCACCCTTTTAGCTCAGTAATGAAGTCATTCCCGAGGTTCACCCTTCAGCCAAAGATTAGACAGCCCCATAAAACAAAATGAGACTAACGGGGCACAACAGCCCAGGGACAAGGACTAGAAGGCAGGAGGGGACAGGAAAGCTGGTAATAGGGATCCCAAGGTCAAGAAGGGAGAGTGTTGACATGTCACGGGGTTGTTAACCAATGTCATAAAACAATATGTGTACTGTTAAATGAGAAACTATTTGTTCCGTAAACCTTCATCTAAAGTACAATAAAAAAAAAAAAATTAAAAAAAAAAAAAAAAGCTGAAGACTTTAGCTTCCCAGCTTCAAGGCTGGTTATTTTGGCTTTGCCCCACTTTTCTACTCAACCTATCCTGGTGGGGGCAGATTTCCAAAAGAATAAGATGTTGAGGGTAGGCGTGGCCTCAGAGTAAGCTGAGTGAACTCCTTAGAACTGGGGACAAGGCAGGGCCTGTGGCTTGGTGAAGGGTGGGTTGAAAGCTCCGAGCCAGGCCCACCCTGTAATGGTGGGAAGCCAAGGGGGCAGAGTAGGGGCAGCTGAAGACTTTGAGCCTAGCAGCCTCTTGCAGCAGTGTGGTTAGGAGATGTGGGCAGAGAAGCTGCTGCCAAGGAAGGAAATCAGGGCAGCCCAATGCCCCTTCCTGCCCTCCCCTGGGGCCATGCAGTGGAAAGAGATCCAGCCCAGGGTCAAATCTCTGTACTGCTCCTTCCTGGTTGTCCTTCCCTCTCCCACCAGCTGTCCCTTAATTCCTCATCCATAAAGTAAGGTGACAAGAACCTCTTTCAAAGGGTGACCAGGAGGATTTACAGAAATAATGAATGTGGAACCACGTGGTATGTTCCAGGTGGCAAAGTTTGGAAACTATTAAACACACATGCACAGTGACCCTCTCTGAGCTCACAGGACAGCTTGACTTCTCCTGTGGCCCTGCAACTGAACACCTGAAACAAGTCCTCAGGTCATCTCAGTGCAGGTGAGGGCCAAGGTTATGGGGAAAGAATCTGGAAGCAGACCTGCTCTACCCTGTCCTCTCTGTGTGGCTTTGGGCAAGTGACCAACCTCTTGGAGCCTCCACTTCTCAACTGTGAAATGGGGTTACCTTCCGTATCGGATGGTTGTTTTTGTTGTTGTTAGGTGCTGTCGAGTCAGTTCCAACTCATAGTGATCCTATGTACAACAGAACGAAACACTGCCCGGTCCTGTGCTATCCTCACAATCGTTGTTATGCTTGAGCCCATTGTTGCAGCCACTGTGTCAGTCCATCTCGTTGAGGGTCTTCCTCTTTTTCACTGACCCTCTACTTTACCAAGCATGATGTCCTTCTCCAGGAACTGGTCCCTCCTGATAACATGTCCGAAGTATGTGAAATATAGTCTCTCCATCTTTGCCTCTAAGGGGCATTCTGGTTGTACTTCTTCCAGGACAGATTTGTTTGTTCTTTTGGCAACCCATGGTATAGTCAATTTTCTTTGCCAATACCACAATTCAAAGGCATCAATTCTTCTTCAGTCTTCCTTATTCATTGTCCAGGTTTCGCATGCATACGAGACGATTGAAAACACCATGGCTTGGGTCAGGCGCACCTTAGTCTTCAAGGCAACATCTTTGCTTTTTAACACTTTAAAGAGGTCTTTTGCAGTAGATTTGCCCAATGCAAATGTGTCTTTTGATTTCTTGACTGCTGCTTCCACGGGTGTTGGTCGTGGATCCAAGTAAAACGAAATCCTTGACAACTTCAATCTTTTCTTCGTTTATCATGATGTTGCTTATTGGTCCAGTTGTGAGGATTTTTGTTTCCTTTATGTTGAGGTGTAATCCATACTGAAGGCTGTAGTCTTTGATCTTCATCAGTAAGTCCTTCAAGTCCTCTTCATTTTCAGCAAGGAAGGTGGTGTTGTCTGCATAACGCAGGTTGCTTATGAGTCTTCCTCCAATCCTGATGCCCTGTTATTCTTCATATAGTCCAGCTTCTCGGATTATTTGCTCAGCATACAGACCGAATAGGTATGATGAAAGGATACAACCCTGACGCACACCTTTCCTGACTTTGAACCACACAGTATCCTCTTGTTCTGTTCAAATGACTGCCTCTTGATCCATATACAGGTTCCTCATGGGCACAATTAAGTGTTCTGGAATTCCCATTCTTCACAATGTTACCCATAATTTGTTATGATCCACACAGTTGAGTGCCTTTGGATGGTAGACGAGATTAAATAAGATAATGTGCATAAAGTGCTTCGTATAGTGGTGACTCATAAAATAAGTTCTCGAAACTTGTCATGATGAAGCTGATAACGATGGTGATGAAGTTGCTGACTAGTATCGTAGTGATGATGCTAACGATGATAACAGTGATGACGGTGGTTCCAGTGAGAAGGAACTAGAAGGCAGGGCTGTTAGGACCCATCTCCTTCCTCATTTCTTCCTCGTCTCCTCTCTTTTCCTACCTTTCTCTCTCTCCCACTACTTCTTCCTCCATCTCCTTCTCTCCTCCTCCTACCCTTTCTCCTCTCTTCTTTTCCTCCCTCCTGCCCCTTTCCTCCCACTCCTTTTCTCTCCTCTTCCTTTCTTCTGCCTCCCCTCCACCCCAACAAGCCTGGAGGCCATCTTTCTCCTGGACATCTTTCTCCTGCCTCTTTAATGAGTCCTGGGATGGGGGAAGGGGGTTTTTTTCTGGCCCACCGTTGTCCATTCATCCCCTCCTCTCCCTTCAGGGAAGAGGACATCTCCCCAGGGCTGGAGAATGGGGACCTCAGTAGTACCCATCACCTCACATATCCCCTTAGCAGTCCTGTCCCTTTGCTATAGACATGCTGCCCTAGAGCCCCAGCCTCAACTTGTTTCTGCCCCAAGATCCTGCAGTGCTCTGTGGCTTGACTCTTCTTGCACACACTGCCAGGAATGCCCTGCTTCTCCATTTGATGAGAAGATCTATGCCCTTAGCAGGTGGCCTCCCCCACCTGCATCATTGGTTCTTCTCCAGCAGCACCTCTGAGCCCCACTGGGTATGGGAGGCAACCCAGGCCCAAGGCACCAGGCAGGCTGACCAAGGAGGACTGGGCAGGCCAGGCCCCACGCCCCAGCCAGAGGGCTAGTGTCTGTACCCACAGGACAAAGAAACCCATCTGTCACACCAGCTCTCAGGCATCCCATGGCCTGGGCATCTGAGAGACCAGGGTCCAGCCTCCATCTCTGACAAGGGTCAGCATTCAGCTAGAGTGTCAGGGGTCATTCTGTGACAAGGATCCAGGCTGGTCTGTGACAAAGGTCAGAGTTTATATTGCACCTGGGGTCAGGTTTGGACCATGACAAGGGGCAGGACTGAGCTGAGGAATGTGCTCTGACTCTGTCATCTGTGTCGGTGGGTCCCCTTGTGGCCCTGGAGGGGCTTCTCCCTGCCCCAGGTTCCCCCAGGATGCCCTGGGTGTTTGGTCAGGGCAGCTGGAGCCTGACAGCATCAGGGGTTGGCGGGAGTGGGGACGAGTTCTCTGACGTGCGTCAAGCAGAGACAGCCAGACCCCATGACCTACTCCAGAGACTGGCCCTGCTCCCAGTCCCAACCTCTCTCAACCGTCCCTACCCCTGCCCTCCCCCAGGCCTCAACGTGAGCCGCAGCTGCACTGAAGAGGGCTGGACACACCTGGAGCCTGGCCCCTACCCTGTTGCCTGTGGCTTCGATGACAAGGCATTGAGTTTGAATGAGGTGGGCCTCAGCACACCCCCACCTCACCCCCAGAGCGCCTTAGCCTGCTAGGTTCTTTCCACCTGTCTCCACCAAGGGATGAAGTTGCTGTCTGTGTGGGAGCCAGGATTCCTGGGGTCTGCCTTTCCCAAGCCTCCTCCCTCTCCAGGCCTGCATATCTGGGGTGGCAGAGGGGGCATTCATGAAGATGACATGTAAAATGAGGTCCCCAGAGCAACAAAAGCTGAAACAGCAGCCCCAGGCTGGGCCATCCTGCTGCCTCATGGGAGCCTCACTCTAGCCTAGAGGTGGCAGGGCAGACAGATTCCATCATGTTGTCACATCCAGAGGGGAAACAGAGGTGCAGATCCTGGAAGGAAACAGCCTCCGTTACCCAAGAGCCAGTCAGGGTCAGGGACAGGAACAAGACCTGTTGTCCTCAGTCCCAGGACGAGGATCCGCCCCCAGGGCAGGTTCAGCATAGGGGGTCTCTGTAAGGATTTGAGTCCAGGGGCTTGGTGGCTCTTGATGGGAGGCTGAAGTATAACTGGAGTTTTCTCACTGCTCTGGCGTGCAAATGCATGTGTCTGCCTACCTGTCTTTCTGTCTGTGACGGCATCTGCTCCCCCCTCAGACAGCCTTCTCAGATGGGGCTTCCACTCCTCCCAAGGAGGCAGCAATTCCCTCAGAGGCCTTTGAAGCCCGCTGGCTCCTCAGGCCCACATTCCGCTAGAGCCCTCTTAATCACTTGGCCTCTAATCAGGCAGGGCTGGGAGATGGAAAGGAGGGAGGGGCCTTGCCCCGATGTGTGACCATGAGGAGGGTACAGGGAGAAGGAGTCCAACAAGAGGCCTGTTGGGGCCCAGATTTGTCTGCCTCCCCCAGAAAGGTCAGACTGCCCCCGTCCTGCTGCCCCAAGTTCTGAGAGCCCAAAGTGGGAAACTAGCCCCACAGCGTCTTCCTTAGGCTTTTTGCATTCACTGCGTGCCTCTGCCGGCCGCACAGCGTGACGGCCTCGTGGGGATCTGCAGGGCAAGCAGTCTTCGTCCCCTAGGGTGCTTAGCCCAGAGATGGGCTGAGAACGGGCGCCGACTGGAGAATGAATGAATGAACAAATGGAACACCCGAGGTCTTCACTCTCGCACTCACTGACATATCCCTCCCGGAGGAGTAGGGAGAGGAAGTTGAATTCAACCTCTGCCCCGACCCTGGGAAGCCCCCTATCCTGTCTATAGAACCTGGGGGGATTGTCAGGGGACTGAAGAGGGCCTCTCAGCTGTTCTTGGGGGCCCTGGGCCTCAGCCTTCTCATCTACCCAAGGCAGGGATGGGAAGGCAGGGTGTGTAAGGCACCTCCCCCCTGCCCACACCCCCTAGGGGAGCCCACCCCCACCCAAGCTCCTCACCCCCCTCCTTCTAGCAGCAGCAGACATTGTTCTACAGTTCTGTGAAGACAGGCTACACCATCGGCTACAGCCTGTCCCTTGCGGCCCTTCTGATCGCCATGGCTATCCTGAGCTTGTTCAGGTGAGGACCAGCCGGAGCAACAGGTCTCAGATCCGCCCCACGTCACTCTCACCACGAAGCCAGCCTGCCTAGACATGCTCTGCCCCCTCCACTGTCGCCTGCCAGGCAGCACACTGTCCCTGCTTCAACCCCCTGCCAGGCCAGCCACCCCTGGACACGGCAGGGGGCTCAAGGGGTGCCCACAGCCTAGTCCCCCATAGGAACGGCCCTGCACAGGGAGACTGGGCACCTGGGGGCGGAGCCCGCACTGGAGATAAGGTACCAGGGATTGGGGCTGCACACGGGGATGCAGTGCCTGGGGGCGGGGTCCACGTTTTGGGATTGGACCCCCTTCGGGGCAGGGCTTGCACTCGGAGCCCACATCCTGCCCCGCCCCCACCCTTGCTTAGAGCTCTGGACAGTGTTAGTTTGGGTGGCAGCGTGGGGGTCCAAGGCCCCTTCGGCCTTCCAGACCTGCCCGCCCTGCGCAGGAAGCTCCACTGCACCCGGAACTACATCCACATGCACCTCTTCATGTCCTTCATCCTGAGGGCTACCGCTGTCTTCATCAAAGACTTGGCCCTCTTCGACAGCGACAGCGGGGAGTCAGACCACTGCTCTGTAGGATCGGTGAGGACCCCCGCCCGGACCACCTCCCTTGGTGTCGCCTTCTCTCACCCGACTCTCCCTTTTCTCTCCGTCTCCCCCTCTCTCCTCCCCTTCTCCCTCTTCCCCTCCCTCCCTCTTCCTCTCTTCCTTCCTCCCCTTTTCCCTTCCTCTTTCTTCCTTTTCTCTCTTTACCACTTCTTTCTGTCCCCAAGGGTGGCCAAACCCCCACTGACCCCTCCCAGCAGCTGCTCAAATCCCACTCCCTCCCTAGTGGCAGGAGATGCTGCCTGGCCATCAGGGAGCCCACAGACCTGCCCCTGCCAATTTCTCTTCTGGTGGCAAATGGAACATGTCATAGCCAGAGCCCAGAGCCCCCCACCCCACCTCTGTTGCTAACTTCTCATATAACCTTGGGGAACTCCCTGACTTAGTTCCCCCAACTGTGCAAAGACTTCCAAGATTGGGTGCAACCCTGCCCTTTTCCATTTGCATACCCAGGGCTCTGCTCACCCTGTCAGCCTTCCTGCTCCTCTTCCTCTCCCCTTGCCCTCTGCAGTAGTTAAACACACACAGACACACACATGCAGCCCTCCTCTCTGTTCTTCCCCTGCCGTCAGTCCAGTCTGGGCCTTCCTAGGAAACGGAGGTTAAGCGAACTTCTGATGAATTCACTCTCTGTCACTAAGTGGTCCATCTCCAAGTGATTCTGAGCTCAGGGCCCCCTCACTGAGTGCCCCCAGGTTCCAGCTCCTATCCCAAACTAGGGCCAGAGACTAGCCCTGGCTCCCACCCGTTCCTTGTAGTCAATGACTCATTGACCATCCCCAGTGGCCCCAGAGGCAGTGCATTGTTTCAGAAGTCAGCAGTACCTTCTTCCAAGAGAGTGAACCTATGATAGTGGAACCTCAAGCATCTCAACAAGGGGGAGAGGGAACCCAGCAAAGCAACCTTGGCCATTCCCACAGCTCCTCAGAGGATCTGGTCCAGGATCTGGGGGCCAAATCAGACAGGTGGTGTATGAGCCCCAGAGCCTAGAAGCAGCCTCCAGACTCCAGTGCACTTTGTTAAGAATAATCATGGAGACTAGCTTCCTGATTCATTAGCAGCTCTGTGAAGCTTTTCTAAGGCAAGGAGAAAGCACAGATAATTGGCCTGTTAAAGAACTGAGCTATTCTTGTGAAGCAAGTTGGGGGAGGGAAAGGCAAAAAAAATGCCTGTATCTGGAGACACTGAAGTGCAACCTGAGGAAGTCCTTTCCAGTCATAGGAAGGGTAGAGCAGGCTGCTCTCTGAGGATGTTTCTAAGCCAAGGGCACAGGAAGGAAGGGTGGGAACCCATGTTCTGGGTAGAGGAATGAATGAAAGCTAGAAGCTTCACGGAGGAGGGTGACTTTAAGCCCCGGCTCACAAGCATCTGAGTTTGATCTGAAATGAAAGACTGTTTTTGAGAGGGCACAAAAGGACCCAGAAGAATTTCCAATCATGCCAGGTGGGCCACCCAGAGCCGCTGGATTGCCCTACTCAGGGGTCTCCCTGACTCCTCTGTCATCCTCATCTACTCTTCTACTTCTCTGGCCCCAGGGAGGAATGGCCACCCTTCTCTCTCCTCCCTTTACTCCTTTCCACTTCCCCTTCCTCTTCCCTCTTCTCAGTCCCTGTCTCTCCTCAACAGTTCCATCTGACTCCACTCCAGAGTCCCAGACCTCCACACATTGAGGGGACTCTTGGAAACTCAAGCAAGAATTCTCCCTCATACCTCTTCCAGATACCTTCAATTCTAATTGGAATAAGATGAATGACTAGGTGGCCTGGTGGGTGGTTAAGTGGATGGGTAGGTAGGTGGATGGCTGAGTAAATGGGTATGTGGATGGCTGAATAGGTGAAAGGATAGATGGATAAAGTAAGGAAGATTGTACAGATGATGGGTTTAGGGGTAGGTGGGTAGACTGGTGGATAGATGAATGAATGGATTGATGGGTGGACGGATAGATGAATGGATGATGGATGGGTAGGTGGGTGGTTGCAAGTAGATGTCTAGTAGATGGGTAAATAGGCGAATGGAGAGATAGATAGGTGGATGGGTGGATGGACTGATAGATGGGAAGATGAATATATGATGGATGGATGCATGGATGGTAGATGAATAAATAGGTGAGTTAGTTGTGGATGCCTGGTGGGTGGGTGGGTAGATAAATGGATAAATGGATAGGTGGGTAGATGGTTGGATTGGTAGGCGGGTAGATGGATAGATAGATAGGAAGGTGAATAGATGATGAATGGATGATTGGATAATAAAAATCATCAGCTTATCCCAAAGCATCAGATGATCTAAAATCAGGGATAATGGGAAAACCACTGAGGCATTTTAAAGGAGATAATGTAAAACAACAAAGCGATTAATATGGCTGTACCAAAATGGTATGTGTTCCCTCAGAGAGATGTGTGGGCAGGCAGGGACCCCAGTCAGCCCCAGTGACCCCTCCTGGTTCCTCTCCCTGCAGGTGGGCTGTAAGGCAGCCGTGGTCTTATTCCAGTACTGTGTCATGGCCAACTTCTTTTGGCTGCTGGTGGAGGGACTCTACCTGCACACCCTGCTCGCCATCTCCTTCTTCTCCGAGCGGAAGTACTTCTGGGGGTACATACTCATCGGCTGGGGTATGGCATCAGGGAGGGCTGCCAGGCTGGGGAATGAGGGGGCAGGGCCTGGGGAGCTCACGTGGGGAAGGGCACCAATCCAGCCTGCAGACTTAGTGTCTTGCTGGACTGCAGGTCCTGCCTATAAGGCTCTCAACCAACGGTTGATAAAGTCCCCAAACATCTGAGCCCCGGGCAGGTACCCTCAGATTGCAGTCACACCCAGGGCTGATCTGTGGGCAGACAGGTTCTGTAGGCATCCTTTCATTCCCCCTTCAGCCCCTGAAACACACAGGGCCACTGCTTGTCTATAAGGTGGCTTTGTCAGAATTAGAAAGACTCTCCCTCTAGTTGGACACACCCCCTCAGGCATATAGCTTTACCGCTCAGTGAAGCATCTTTGCACAACAAACAACCTACGCAGCCATAGGTGGCAACCCTGGAAACCCACCATTTTCTCTCTCCCTTCTTGTTTCTGGCTCTGTCTTTCTGTTAAATCTCTCCCTCACTCCCTCTGTCCCTGCCTCCTGGGCCTTCTCCTCTTTTTCTCTCTCCATTGGCCCTGACAGGGGTACCCAGCACCTTCACCATGGTGTGGACCATCATCAGGATCCATTTTGAGGATGATGGGTAAGCTATCACCCCACCCCCTCTCCCCTGGGTAGGGTGATGATGCCACACAGGCTTGGCACGTGGAAAAACCACAGCACTTATTCCACAGTAGGAGGGCTATAGCTGGAGGGTGACCTGGGGAACAGCAGACTCTGGGCCCGTGGTCTCTGATGGGTTCAGGGCGGAGCTGGGGACAATTGGGAGGACTCCTGTCCTGCTGACGCTCTCTCTGGCTGTGGACAACCTCTCTCTCTCTCCCACCATTCCCTGCCCAGGTGCTGGGACACCATCAACTCTTCATTATGGTGGATCATAAAGGCCCCCATCCTCACCTCCATCTTGGTAAGGCCTCCTCCTACCACTTAGAGATGGGGAAACTGAGGCCCACGCTAGGGAAGCAACTTACCTCAGGTCATACAGGAAATTAGTGTCTAAGGTCTGAACTAAAACCTAGGCTTCCCAATGCCCATTTCAGGGTCCTCTCCATACCCTCCCCAACCAGTCCTTCCTCAAGAGTGGAAAAAACAGGTGAGGAGGCACAGTCCTCAGGGAAGTGAAGTAGGTTCCTGGCTGGCTGCCCAGAGAGGGCAGAGCTGGGGGGAGAGGTAAGACAGAGGGGCAGCAGGGACCTGAGAAAGAAAACAGGCCATCATCACCCCAGAGGGCTGGATACCCCAGTCTCCTCTCTGACCTCCCAACCACGGCCCCACCCACCAGGTGAACTTCATCCTGTTTATTTGCATCATCCGAATCCTGGTTCAGAAACTGCGGCCCCCAGATGTCGGGAAGAGTGATAGCAGCCCATACTCGTGAGTGTGGGCCCAGTGCCCTGGCTCCCCAGTCCCCCACACCCAGTCCTCAAATCATGCTACATCCCCTTAAGGCTTCTTACCCTAAACCTTCAGAGTGACCAAAAAGCCGCATTGCTGTTACCTACCTCCACCACCCCCTGGCCTGGATCAGCCCAGAAGTGTCCCCTGCCTAGACCCCACCCTCACCAGACTGCCTCAGAGCCCCATATCTGCTTCTCCTTGACTCACCTGTAGGTGATCTGACCCAGCTATGCCACTGCTGCCAGGCCAGGGAGCTTCAGAAGACAGTGGATAACCTGTGTCTTGTTTACACTACATCCCCAGTGCATATGCCTGGCACAGAGAAAGTGCAATAAATGCACAGTGGATGAGTGCCCTGGGGGAGCCCCCAGTCTACAAAGAGATGGCCATGCCCAGGATTCAGTATTCTTCAATCGTAATAATGACAGCTACCATTGACTGGTGCCAGGCATGGGCTAAGGGGTTTCCATGTATCATCTCATTTCATCCACACAGTCCCCCTGTAAAAAAAAAACAAAAAAACCCATTTTACAGATGAGGAAACTGACACCCACTCCCTCCTCCTCAGCTGACAAAGCATACCCCCTTTCCATGGGCGGTGGTGGGTGGAAGGGTATAATGTCCATTGGACAGTGATCAGAACTCCTTGCTTGGAAAGGTGTGAGGGCTGTTCCCTGGGCTTGGGAAGACTGGAGAAAAAAGTGGGTTTTCATGGGAGCAACAAGGTTTGCAGGAAAAACTAAAGAAACACGAAAATGTGGAAAGGGTGATGGCTGTGGGCAGGCGAGTAAGCAGGGCCGGATTTCCCAATAAGCAAGGTACACGTGAGCTCAGGTGTGCCTCCCCACCAATCTGCAGTACACAATGTCACCTGTTCCCCCACCACAGCAAAGAGGTGGTGAAACCCATGTGAAATTGCCCACCACAGATTATCAAGTAAATACAGGGAAGCCCGTGCATACCTTGCTTAATGCAAACCGGTGCCTACTGTGCTTACTGGTTAATCTACCCCTGAGAGGAGGGGTTTGCATGCCCCCAGATGGAAACAGGGGACTGATTGACAGGGCGGATGATCCAATAAGCAAGGTAAGCACAAGCTTACTTGTGCTTACTTACTAATCTGTAGTTAACAATTTGACATGGGTTTCACCACATCAGAGATGTAGGCCTTGGTGAAGACTGAATTCCCAGGGGTGCACAGTAGCAAACTGTAACGAGTCAAAGATGTGGTGAAACGCATGTGAAATTGATTAGTAAGTAAGCACAAGTAAGCCGTTGCTTACTGGAGAGTCCTCCCCTGTCAGGGATTGTAAATTTGAAAAGAGGCTTTGTAGGACAGTGCTGTGAGGCTGGGAGAGAGACAGATGCCAGCCATACCTAGAAGCAGAATCTTTGATGTGGTGTTAAAAAAAAAAAAAGAAAAAAATGTGGAATTGTTCACTACAGATGATCTGGTAAGCAAGATAAGCATCGTGCTTACCTTGCCTATTGGATAATCTGCCCCTGCTGATTGATCATTAGGGCTGTGCAGATAAGACAGGCCTGGGGCTTCCCACAAGGGCCTTCTAGTCCTGGGATTCTAGAATGTTCTTCTGAGTCTGACTTCTCATTTGGGGAGTTTGTGCTGTGGTTCTAAGATTCCGGGCTAGAATGTCACGAGCTGCTGGATTGCGGATTCTATTCTGGAATCCTGTGATTCTCTCCCATGAGACTAAGACTCATGTTCCTGGTGTGACAGAATTCTCTCCTGCTGGGTGAGTAGGTGGAGCTTTGCTTCCTGGTTGAGAAGGGAAGGCCCTGTAGGGGTCTGCTATATACTGAGCGGTAACACACTGGGCCTGCACACTCATCCTCTGCTTTGCCTGTGGGACCTTGTTTCCTCCAACGTACAACCACTCAAAAGAACTTGTATCTGAGGCAGAGGGAGCTGGTCATTGCCAGGTCTGCGTGGGTGAGATGGAAATTGAACAGCTGTCAGCAGGCAGAAGGGGTGGGGGGAGTAGGAGATGTAGCTCCCCACGGAGGGGGTGTCAGCTCCCACTTTCCACCTCCCTATAAGCCCTCAATTTAAAGAAAGCCTCCATCTGTCAGCCTCAGGCATATGGGATAGGTTTGCAGTCAGGGAGGGGTGGGCAGTGCTCTGGATCTTGGTATGGCTGGGAACCACGCTCAGGATGCAGTGTAGGGCAATGCCAGCTCCTCTGGCCCCAGCTTGTTGTGGGACCTCAGGCCCAGGGCTCAGCCTCCCTGGGCAGATTGCCAAGGCAGGAGAGAGAGAGGCAGAGATACCTCACCCCATGCCTCTCCCAGTAGGGAACCATGGGCTCATACTGCCTGGACCAGCTATGAGGTCAGGTGGGTGGGAGGCCTGAAGTAGGGTGACCCCTGCTCCACGGGAGAGGAGCGAGTCATTTGGAGGGAATTTGGACTCTGCTGGGCACACAGGCTGAAGGAGGAGCTGGTCCTTTAAAGCATGCTGGGAGTGTGTGTATTGGTGTGTGGGAGGGTGCAGTCCTGGAGAAGGTGGTGACCCTTAGAGAAGTGGACAAAGACAGAGGGCTGGACCCTGAGTCATCCCTGGTGACCAAGCACCAGGTGGGTGCCCACTACCCTTCCAAGTAAGTGGCCTTGGGCATATGTAGTCAGCATCCCAGTCAGAAAGGCTTCCTTCCCAGAAGTTCTCACTCCCAGTAGGAAACTGGTGTCTCATGGAGGCACTGTACTTTATAGCAGTCAAAGCACTAGGGTTTTCAGTGGGCCTTCAATTCTACAGAAATGAAGAAATGACCATGTTGAGCATACATTTACCCCGTTATACAGATGGGGAAACTGAGACCAGAGGAGAAGGGACCAGGCTGTCCTGTTGCCTGAGAGCATCTATTCATTAGCTGTTGCAGAGTCTGAAATCTCACTATTATGCATCATCCTCAAGGTTCATCACTGGCCTCTACCTTATACTCTCTCCTCCAGAGGGGTGAGACTAGAAGGAGTTTCTTTCTCATGCCTCCTTCCAGACCAGTAAGGCCAGCGGGGAATATAAGGTCAGAGCCACGGCAGATAGGGCACTGCAGACAGTGTTTACTGGAGCCGACAGTCTGTCCTCACACATCCTCGTCATTGTCTCCCTCTTCTAGGTCCCCAGCCCCAGCTGCCCCTACACCAGGCCCAATCTTATCTGCACATGTGGACACACATACCCACTGACTGCCCCTTCCCTGTCCCCAGGAGGCTGGCCAAGTCCACACTCCTGCTGATCCCCCTGTTTGGGGTCCACTACATCATGTTCGCCTTCTTCCCTGACAACTTTAAGACTGAAGTGAAAATAGTCTTTGAGCTCGTCGTGGGGTCTTTCCAGGTATGAACTGTTGGCTTAAGGCTGCATTCTTCTCTGGCCTTTAAGGGAATTCAACCTCCGGCTTTGGCCGCTTGTCACTGGATTCCAACCTTTTCATTGCAAAAGCATTGATTGAGCACCTACTATGTGCTTGGCCCTATGCTTAACCAGGGGAACACAGGGGCTGGGGCTGGGGCAGGGCTGGGAGCTCCTGGGGTCTGTCTGCTTCACCTGTCTTGCCCCTTTCTCCCCAGGGTTTTGTGGTGGCTGTCCTCTACTGCTTCCTCAATGGTGAGGTAAGCCCGTCCCAGACCTTGGAGGCCAGGGAACAGAGAACTCTAGTAGGCCCAGGGCCCAGAAACCCTGATGGGACTTGTACAGAGCAAGGACTGGATAAACCTTGCTGCTCCACGTGTGGTCCTCAGGCTAGCAGCACCCGCGTCACTTAGGATAGTGTGAAAAATGCAGATTTCTGGACCCACCCCAGACCTGCTGACTCAGAATCTGAAATTTAACAAAACCCCCGGGGGATTCCTGTGCACATCAGAGTTTGAGGCGCATTTACTTAAGTGGCTGTGTGCCCAGTGAGTAGGGAGGGGACGGGCTGTGAGCAAAAGTGGAGTTGCTGTGGAGCCCTGGTTACAAGGCACAAAAATCCAATTGGATGAGCTCAAGTGAGCTGGAGAGTGGAGATGTGAAGAATGGGGGTACAGCCACCCCTAGGCAGCATCCTTCTCCCTCCCTGGACTGCATTCTCTCATCCTCTCTGCCTTCAGCCTACCATTGACCCCCACTGCAAGGCAGTGATCTGCCCCTTTCCTCAACCGGGTCCCAACTGTAATTCCCAAGGCAGCATCAGAGTCTCTCAGTTCAAGACTCCCAAAGGAGGATATGATTGGCTGGCTCAGCACCCTAAGTCTAGAGCAGCGCAATCAACAGTGGACGAGGCTCTAGGGCCAGGCCTGACCACCCTCTCCTCTCCCAGGTGCAGGCTGAGCTGCGAAGGAAATGGCACGGGCACCTGCAGGGCATCCTGGGCTCAAACCCCAAATACCAGCACCCGTCGGGAGTCAGCAACTGCGCCACAAGCAGCACTCAGGTCTCCATGCTGACCCGCCTCAGCCCAGATGTGCGCCGCTCCTCCAGCTTCCAAGCCGAAGTCTCCCTGGTCTGACCACTAGGCGCCCAGGGGCCCAGGACGGCCCTCCCGACCCTACCCACCCCAGGTGGCGCAGGGGGTAGAGGCCTGCCCGTCCGGGGCTAGCCTCAGCTGTGGGTTTGGAGTCTGCTCTGGCCACCAAGTCACTGTCCGGACTTCCTTGGGAAGCGCAGCCCTTGTGCCTGCCTGGGGAATAGAGGGTGCATACATAGGAGAGCCAAAGAAGAGGTGGGATCATGTCCCCTGCAGGACATGGGGTGGAAATCAGTCATCAGACTCCTCCTCCAAAGGCCCCCTCTGCCAATCAAGGGCAGGAAATCTGACTTGGACTCCTGGTATTTTTCCTGACCAATCAGAGGAAGGCAGCCCATCCTCCAACAGTGTTGGTGTGATCTGGGAGGAGAATGGTCATGCCCAGAAAGGTCACCCACTGCCACCACCTCAACAGTGCCTGAAATTCCACCATTGCTGCCACGTTCTTTTGGGTTAAGCATTCATCACGCATCTCTCTGAAGGTGCATTTCCCCCTCCCCTAGGGCCTGCTCTGAGCTGCTAGTTCCATAGGTGAGTGACTTTCTATGCCTCAGGCAGTTGCGGTTATGGGGTGATATAGCAGCTGGGTTAGGGGAGCACAGCTACCTCCATAGTCCCTTCCAAAATGGAGCTGGGGGTTCCAAGGGCCCTCTCAGATCATGGCTGTGGCTGGAACCATGCACCCTGAGGACCTGGGAACTCTGAAGCCTCTGGGAAGTGAGGAGACTGCCACTAAGGCATGCCGGGGCCTCAGACAGAGCCTACCCACTCTCCAAGCCTGGCAGCTCTCCATCCAGCCAAGAGGAAACTGTTCTATTCTTAGATCAATACAAAGCAGCCGACAGAGCTGCTGGAGGCCCCAGAAATGGTTAAGTATGAGCATTCCAAAGGCCGCAGTCATTCCAGCAGAGAAGGAGCAGATGGGATGTGAGATGACCATGTCACCCTTGCCCAGGGTTCAGTCAAGAGGAGGTAGATAGAGGAGAACACAGATGTCACCAAAACGAGTGAGCAGAGACAGTACGACTAACAGAAAGGTTTAGAAACAGGTAGTAGGGCAAAATAGATGCCAGTCAGCAAGAGATGTCTCCAAAGTCATTGCCCAAGCTGACCTCCTAGGTTCCACTTCCTGTAAACTTGCAAGGAGGTTATCTTGCTGCAGGAGCAGGAGAGAGATGCCAAGCTGGTAAAAAGAGACCAGAATGGGCTGGTAAAAGCTCAGATTTACCCACAAAGCTCTTTCAAAGTCTCGTTTTGCTCACTACCATCCCAGGACCCATCACCAAATGACAGCCCCAGCCCAGCATCCTGCAGAGGCTCAAGTACGGTGGTCACTCAGGATGAGCAGACTGTGAGCCTGAGGCAGAGGCAGCCCCAGGCAAATACGCTTTGATCAGTTGTCCTGCATATCCAGGAGTGGCTAATGCCTTCCATCTAGATTCACAAACGCTCCATGCCCTGCCCTGTGCATGGTCAGCTGTAGGACAGAGAAGGAGGTGGTGCTGTGCTCCCAGCCTTGGCCTCAAACACTCCCAGCCCTGCTGGGGAGAGCATTCTCAGCTCCCCCACCCCCAGGCCAACAGTTTCTGGTGACTTCCAATGAGAAACCTCCAGTTCCAGGAAGGTGCTAGTGGTGAAGAGCTGGGCTGGGGACTTGGGGGACCAGGACTTCCATTCTTCCCTGAGGGTCTCACACCCCTGCTATTCCAGGGCACGAGGGATAAGAGGAGACAGGTAATGTGTTCATGCAGCTCACACCCAGTTGGGCATGTCGTTCACCCTCTCTGATTTCCCTACTCAGTGCCTCCCTGAGCTGGTTCTGGATACCTTGTTCACTCCCATATGCCTCCGAACGGTCCAGAAGACAGAGCCCTAGTCGTTTAGTCCCGATTCGGCTTCAGACTTTCTCAGATCATGAGCAGGTGGTGATCTCTGGATCATGATCTCTGGACTTCAGTTTCTCCACCTGCACAGTAGAGAAGGGTGTTGGTTGGGTGTTCTCCACACCCTCCTGGCTAAGGCTTGAGTGGCTAACAAGAAGAGGGCTGCCCAGAGCCCTCAGCCACCTGCTCTGCCCTCTGAGCTCAGGGAAGGAGGACAGCAGCTGAAGTGGAAACCCCAAGTAGTCCGGGAGCCAAGGGCATTCACAGAGGATGGAGGCTGTGCAGAGAATTTGGTCCAAGAATTGGAGGGGCTCCTTCTCCAGCGATGAGCTGAGGTGGCAGAAGAGGGGCAGGAAAGGAAGGGAAGCAGAAACCAGAGGAACTAACAGATCCTAGAAGCAGGGTGTACGTAAAGGAAAGGGCAGCACCCTGCCTTCCAGACGAGGGACGTCACAGGCTGCCTGAGCTGTGTGAAGGCCAGGTGGGGCCCCCAGACCAAGCGAAAGCTAGCCCATCCACCCCAGTGTCTGAAATCCCAACATCAGTGTATCATGGCTTCAGTGTAAGGCAGAGAGCCCTGGGGAGGGGAGCAGAGTTACCAGCCAAGAGGGTGTAGAGTGAATGAAAGGCACAGAGACCCAAGATATGGGCAACAAAAGGGAAGACAGTTGGGGCCCTCTGACCACTGAAGGGACAGGAGATGAAAAGCCCAGTGAAGCCAAAACACAGACTCGGACCAGCAGAGGCTGTGGGCAGGCATCCCAAGCTGGGAACAGACATGGAGTGGAGGTGACCACAAGCAGGATTCCTCCTCCTTCCCATCCACGCCCCAGGTCCTAGGGTCCCTCTCCTGCTTTGCAGGGCACTTGTCAGTTGAGGCCAGTTCATCTCTGTTGCCACCTGGTGGGTACTTTGAGGACTTCACCAAGGTTGGCCCTAGTGCCCTGAGATTGGCCCTAGGGCCCCAAAGACCAGGTTGCAGGCCCCTTGCCCAGGAGGCCAGGTGACACAGGGCAGGTCTCTCTCAGCTGCATTTCAGAGTGAGAGACAAGAAGGAGGTGGCGAAGCACAGGACTGATGACCCCAGGGTCAGCCTGGGGATAAGGAAACCCTGGCCAGTCCTGAGCCTCATATACCCAAGACCCTGATCTTGCTGCACCCTGGGATCCATGCCTCAGACCCAGCTGTGACCCCCGGCAGAGCCTGCCTCTGGTTAACCACAGGCTAGGCCTTGTCCCTTGTCCAGATGGAAACCTGGCCCCTGACTGATCGCAGATCCCAGTCTCTGAGGCTAAAGCCCAGTTAACTCAGGTCGGCACCTCCTGGAAAGATAAAGATGAGGAAACCTCTCGCCAGCACTGAGAGGCGCCAGCATGTGGATGGCAGAGCAACCATGTGGATGATTCCTGCCACGCAGGGACACGGGCTGCCCAAGGGCGATGGCCAGTCTGTCTGCACTCAGGACAGGGAGCAGCTTCCCAGGTGAGGTGACATCGGCTGGCCTCTGGGGACTAGGTGGGTCTCTGGGCCCCACGGGAGCATGATGGGTGACAGGGACACCTGCATCCAGGTGAACATCGCTGGGAGCCCTTTCCAGCAGGAACACAGGAGAGGCCAAGGGGGTGAGAGTGGCTTTGGGCTGGCTACTCTGGCTGCTGTGAAGGGCCCCAGGGGCAGGTCTAGGAAAAGGGGCCAGTCCATCATCCCAGTGAGGGAGGAAGAGGAGCAGGTTCGGGAGATGATGACCTGGTGCTGAATGCAATGTCTGGGGGACACCTGGGGCTGTTGGAATCAGGACCTAAAGTGACAGGGCCCAGGTAGGGGCTGAGGAGACCAGGACAGCGAGCCCCTGGGTGTGGGGGAGGAGTGTACAGGGAGTCTTTAGCCCCAGGCACCTCCATCTGGTGTGCTGGGCAGAGGAGGGCTGAGGAGTCAGCATCAGCCCCTCCATTCCCACCCCTCGCCAGGGCCTGTTTTAATGAGCAGTGACCCAGCCTCCCCCCGCCCCCCCCCATGTGGGAACAGGAACTGGTCTTATCTCTCCTGGGGGAGGGGGCCGGAGCCACAGCTGGCAGTCATTAAACACCCTGATCAGGCCAGGGATGGCCAAGATATTAATAGCCAGGAGTCGATGGCCCTGGAGACACAGGCTCCCAGGAAGAAGGACAGTAACCTCGGCAGGCCATGCGGATGAAGAGGAAGGGTCAGGAAGCCATCCCAGCAATGCCCCAGCCTCCTCCACGCAGGACAGAGAGGGAAACCAACGTCCAGAGAAGGGAAGGGATTGCTCAGGGTCTCCCGCAAGTCACTGGCAGAGCCCAGCATTGAACCCAGTTCTCCAAATCCAGAGCCCTGCGTCTTCCAGTGTGTGGATTGTCACAGATGAAATTGATTGGCAGTGCCCCTTGAGAGGACACAGGAGGAGCAGACCAGGTTGGGGACACTGATTTTGTCTTTATTTAGTCCTTTTTTTAAATTGAGGTGAAATTCACATAAAAGAAAACTAACCATTTAAAGTGAACAATTCAGTGGCATTTCGGGCATTCACAATGTTGTACAACCACCACCTCTGACTAGTTCCAAAACCTTCTCATCACCCCAAAAGGAAACCCCATACCTGTTAAGCAGTTGCTCCCATTGCCCCCTCCTCCCTCCTCCTGGTAACCACCAATCTGCATCCCATCCTGTCTCCATGGGTTTACCTATTCTGGGTATTTCATGTAAATGGGATCATGCAGTATGTGACCCTTTGCGTCTGGCTTCTTTCACTTAGCATAATGTTTTCAAAGTTTATCCACATTGTAGCATGTAGCAGTACAATTTAAATTTTTGATATTTTGTTCATTATGTATTTTTGCATTAATTTTGATTTTTTTAAATATTGCATTAAAATATTATTTATCTTGCTTACTGAGTTTCCTGGTGCCCTCTTATATTTTGCACTTCACCCTGGTTCCAGCTCACCTGGGATTCACTTCACCCTAAACCCTGGTGACGTAGTGGTTGAGAGCTACGGGTGCTAACCAAAAGATCGGCAGTTTGAATCCACCAGGCGCTCCTTGGAAACCCTATGGGGCAGTTCTACTCTGTCCTATAGGGTCGCTATGAGTCAGAATCCACTCCATGGCAACGGGTTTTTGGTTTCAGTCCCAGCTGCTCCCAGAGCCCCAGCACCCTTGAGTCCTAGGATGTTGGGACTGGAAAAGACTTTGGAGAACTCTGGACCAGGGCCCATGTTGCTCAGAGGGAAAGGATTGCCAGGATGAGGCCTATTGGAAATAGGCAGCTCCAGGATTAATTCAGTGGTTCAGCTATGTCATTATAGACCTAGGTGTTTTCTACCTGTCCACTCTGCAATCTTCAGTATGTTGAATTTCTTCCTCAAACATCTCCTCATGATTGCAA